TGCCCATCCCAAGTCAGGGTGTTGGTGAGGGAGAAAGTGATATTGATCTTCCTTCATATCATCAAAGCGACAACCACAGAGACCCAGGCTGGCTACAACAGCTGCATCTTCAATGCTATCTTCCATGGTGGCACAGTGAGCATGATGCGCATAGTTCGAGTCTAGCTAGTATGCTTCCTTCTGTCCATCCCAGATGGAGATGCACATCGTGGTCTTCTAATAAGTGTACTCTAAAGGGTGCGTATGCTCGTTGCAGACGTACTCCACAGTAGCGTCCCAATCAGCGTAGTAGGTCTAAAGAATCCCCATAAGTCGGTGGTGCGAGACAGAGGATTCACACCCCAGCTTGTACCAGATCTTTGTAGTCCATCCCATGGTAGGGGTAGGCTGATCTTCTTGAACAACGTCCTCCTCCTCCTCATCATCAGACAATACAACGACCTCCACTTCTTTGGATTCTTCTTCTTCTTCGGGCTCTTCCTAGAATGGCTCAGGCATAGGTGCAGGTGCTGGCGAGTAAACTTCTTGCTCCTGGGGTTCCTCCTCCTCATGTGGCTCTATGGACTCATACAAGCCACGAGGCGAGTAGTAGCCTCCAGTGCTGATGTGAGCGGTCTTATTGGCACGAGGCATCTACAGAATTAGATCTAGTCCAGTTAGAAGCAATAATTTTCAAAACAGAGTGAGGCAAAAGAAGCATAAACTTTAGCAAATAACAAGGGTGAGATGGGAAGCATGAAATGAGTGAAGCAAAAGAAGCTAAAACGACCATTGCTAACTAGGCTTGCGTCCTACAGTCAACACGGCTCTGATACCAATCGGTCACACCCGATTTTAAGGATAAAATGGGATGCAAAATCTTATGTACGCCTAGAGATCTGTCACACACATAAGCCGATAAATTATAAATAATATCATCACAAGTGTTTATTATATCACGAATAATAAGACATAGTCTTCACATAAATGTAGCGAAAGTATAAAGAAAAATCTCTCACGGAAGTTCCATATCACAGGGACGTCAACTGGTTGACCATAAGTCTAGTAATCCTCAGGAAGTCATCATTGTCATAGTCATCTATTACCCATCCGGGATTTTTATCCAAATAATGAAAATAAATAAGCATAAGTACATGTTGTACTCAACAAGTGTAACACGGGGTTCATGAGGCTCAAAAGGCTTGACACAGGTTTAACAGCATTCAACTTTTAATTATCACAATTTTAGCATAAGAGTAGCAACAATTTGTTTCAAAATCAAAGTAAAACACATGATCAATGTAAACATGAATAATGAATAGCATAAACAGATAATTCTTAGTGATCATCTATTCCGTAAATGTTCCAATGACGCTCGTGACCGTGAGCACGGCTAATATACCAGTTTTACACTCTACAGATGTTGTACACTTTCACTGTGAGTCGTGATACCCATATGCTCGGGTTAATTAATCCCAAAACACTTCCAAGATGAGCAGGCAGGGTTAACTATGAAGCCTTTTAAAGGTTCGTCTAACAAGTTAGGGCCATTAGATTCACTCGACAAACAAATGTAGAGCTCCCCTTCCTGATAGCACAATGACACGCAGCCTATACTCAAGGGGACAGAGAACACACTATACCCAATTTATCAAGCCATTCTTACGCCAATAAAGGTAACCACTAACAAGCTAGAAAAGGTCCTTATGCTAGAGCTAAAGCCAGAGCCATGTGGCCCTCATAGCCGTACTATAAGTCCTAGATAATCACATAGATAAGTCCTTAGGGAGAGGAATCTGAATCATTTAGAAAGTAGCTAAACACTCCAGTCCCCTATTTCCAAGTTGCTAAAAAAGTCATGTTTTAATGTTTATTGCATATACCATTAGTCAAGTTACAAGATCATGGTTTAGTTGAGCACTAGCAAAGCTACCCAATGCATATCCCATAGGAGACAATGTATAAGTTCAATTCTAGGGAATCCCTATCAAGGTGACACATGTAATATGAATTAAATGTATTAAAGTTGATAGAAAACAAGGATGATCCCATGTTATACTTGCCTTGAACAAAGTGTTCCTGCTGATCCTGCCGAGTCAAAGTAGTACTCTTGATCACCCACGAATTCCTCATCGTCTATACTCGATAATCACAGCAACATTCAAGCATCCAGAAGCAATCATGCATAGCAAACAAATCAAGATGAAAAGTTTATAAAAAAATCTACATCTTGCTACGAACACACAGACACGAAGATCACGAAAATCGGAGATAAAATAAAGAAGTTATGAATTAAACAAGATTTCCTTTATTACAATAATAGATTAAATCTGACCTCAAATTTTAAAAGTTGAAGACATACTTAACAGTAGTATGAACATGTAGATTATGCAATTACGAACCTAATGCAACTTGAACGGACCAAATCGGAGTTAAAATGAAGATTTTATGGCTAAAACAAGATTAGTGGCAAAGCTATAAATAGATGAAACTTGATTTTAGAATTTAAATTAATATAATCGGGTTTTAAACCAAAACAGGGACTGCAGGCATGAAAACAAAGAAACACAGGGGCTCTTTAACAAAATTGCAGGGATGACGGGTTGAGTTCCAAATAATTATAAGGGCCTTTTTGCAAAACGACAAGCGAATGGGTATCTTTGAATCTGGGACGTTGATCACGTGATGGACGGTTGTGATTAAATCGGAGGGGGAGAGAGTGCTGTCGTCGAGGAAGGAAACGGCGCAGCCACGGCCATGAACGGCGACGAGGAAGCTCGCCGGCAACATTGATTTAGGACCTACGGAACACCACAGAGCAAAGCGAGGGCACGGGGAGAGGGAGGAGATCAAGACGAGCTCACCAAGACCAAAAGCAAGGACGGGGATGAACCGACGACGTGCGGCGGCTGCTTGACTAGACGTCGGTGGCGGCGCTAGGGGTACGGCTTTGCTGCAGCTCAAGCGAGGGCGGCGGCTTGCTCTAGGACTAGGAGGAGGCGGTGTGCGCAAGGGCCGCTATTTATGGGCGGCTTCGGCGTGCGGGTCACGCTAGGACGCGGTGTAGAAGAGGCAGACTCAGCGGCGACGGGGGTCGTGACCGACCCAGTCTCACGCGGGGAGGAAGAAGAAGACGACTAACCAGTGGGGTCCGCCTGTCAGCGTCAGCAGGAGAGAGGAACGGCGCGGGCGCGCTGCCGAGTGGGCCGCGGGCGAAGCTAGGCCGAGAGAGAAAGGGGGAGAGCACTAGGCCAGGAGCAGTAGGCCCATGCGGGGCAGTGAGGGAGAGGAGAAAGGCGGGCTGCGCCTTGGGCCAGCAGGCCGAATAGAGGTAGGGGAAATAAACCTCTTTTTTCTATTTTCTTAAACACCATTTCAACTCCAATTTAAACTCAAATTCAATTCTTTTGCAAATTTCAACCAAACCCAAGCATCACATATAAAATATGCAGCAGCATGTATGCATATACATGTATGTAGACCTATATTTAATTTTAATTTTAACAAAGTTATTATTTTTCTAACTTTAAATGTCCACAAAAATGCATAATAAATTAAATTCTCTTATTTCAAAATCATGAAATTTTTAGGGTGTTACATCTCCCCGCGCGCAACTTTGATGGAGGTGCCGAGCTCCGCGCATCGCGCCACCGCTGCGTGCTCTGCATGGGGGCCGGCTAGAGGGGACGAGGGGCCGGAGGTGGAGGTGCTCTGCGCCTAGAGATGAGAGAGCGACGTTAAGAAGGGGGAGAGAGAGGCTAGTAGTGAGTTAGGATTAGAGTTTTCATTATATGTAGTTGAGGCAGGTAGTGGGCCTGAAAAGGGTTGGCGGTGCTGGGTTAGTATTTTCGGAGGCGGGCCGTATAGTGAAACACCTGGGAAAATGGATTTACGGAGGCATACGCTCTAAGATGGTCCTTGAAAGATTAGAGTTTTCTTAAGACGTCCGTCTCGTAAATCTATTTTCAGAGGCTGGCATTTCCTGACCACCTCCGTAGATCTGTTTTGCGAGACGACCATTTTTTGGTGCCTCCGTAAATAAAACGACCGTCTCCGTTTATCGTCGGGTATCTTAGAAGATGCCTAGACTTTGTGCCTGCCTCGGAATGTCCTAGAGCCCTCCCTCGTAAAATCATTTTTGTAGTAGTGAGAGACAAACCAGCCCTACAGATCCAGTCTGTGGTAGTGAGTGTGCGTGTAGTTCAGTGGTAAGGGATGTGAACAATAGGTCGTACGTTTGAGTCTTGAAGAAAATCTTTTTTTTTTTTTGGTATTTTTTGTGTTTTTTGGAAATCATTTACACAGGGAGGCATCTTAAAAAGCTGACAAATTAAGATGTTGTAACTGTTTCTTAATTTTGACTATGTCCACTGTTCTTTATTCAAACATGTGGTGCACTGTAAGTTGTAAAAACTTATTCTAGTCTAGTTTCTTCAGGAAAGAAAATAAAACTACTCATGTTTGTATGGACACCATCCTTGATTATATAGTTACTGATCCCAGAAATTACTTTAGAAAACTCTGTCCTTTCCCCAGGTCAACTCTGACAGGGATTATCACTACATCTGCCATGTACTCTGCGAACTTACCAGAAAAATGAAGACATAATTGCAGCTACAAATAAGCTGGCATATTGAGTTTGCACATCGATCGTTTACTAATTTATCAAATATTATTTTTAGCATTAATTGAACCTTTCTGAATTATTTGGCTCACAATATACTCATGTGTTGCAGAATTTTTGCCAGAAATTAAAGGTACACAATTGGAGACATAATATGGTTACCCCACCAAAAACTGCCTCACTAGGTGGAGAATCCACATTCTAAAAACCACTACAACACTGTAAAAATGAAATCTGCGTAAAAAAAAGTTGGTCCTGATATATCCAGCTGTATATCCAACACTTTCTGCCTATAAATTACGTACCATACGCGGTTAATCAGTAGGGAACCACTCATAGATAGGCCGCCTGTTTCCTGTCTTCCACCTCAATCCCTATCGATCTCACTAGTTTCACCATGAAGCTTCTTCCTCTGTTTTTCCTTGCAATGGTCATGCTCAACGCTTGCACTGCGGCGCATCACAAGGCAGAATTAGTTCACAAAGTGAAGGTGGGGACAGCGGAGGGGACGTCAGTCGACAATCACCATGCGATACCAAGGCCCGATTATGATAGCTGGAGCAGCCCTGGAAACATGCCGGGAAGTGGCCATGACGTTGGGAGTGAAGATGCTAAGCCATGAGCAGCCTTCGTTCTATACATGTCTTGTGCGTAGGAAAGCTTGCATGCTATGTATATATGCTCGTGCCATATCTCTGGACGATGGTATCACTTCGTTTTGTGCACTTGTGCTGTTTGTGTAACCCACACGTATGTATACCAATGTTACTTTCATACTGAATAAAGAAAAGAATGTTTTAGTTCGTTCCAGTGATAATTTTCGTCAGGTTCAACTGTCTGTGTGCATATTTTGGTCATGATTCTATATATCATGTGTAGTGCTTCAATAAAAAGAGTAGACAAAACTATTCTTCAGATCTTTGAATACACACACCATACATTGCCAAAGAAGAAATGCATATGGTTTCTTGGTACATTAGATACTACTATACTAGTACACAAGCTGTCTACAAAAGCGTTATATATATATTGTTACCTGATATATATATAAAACAGAATAAACTATGCCCCCACTATGATTTGAATTGTTTACATCGACAGACACTAATGAGTTTCCTTCTTATATACTGACAAACAAAACTCTCAGGTTCAATTGAAATCATCGAGTTCGATATCCTTAGATACATTCATTTGATGAATACAAAACATCAATGCTAGTTTACATTAGTTATAACGGTATTTCAGAAGTCATATCATTTGATTTATATGTTTATTAGCAACTACGAAATCACATCACCATGATGAAATTGAGAAAATCTAACGATCAATGGTAGCATGCTCTTTTGATTTATGAACAATATTTATTGCAAATAAGACTTTTGTTACTAATAAATTAAAGTGCCTAAAACTGGTGAGGAAACATCATTTTATAACAAGCTCGATAAACTAGATATAATAATTATGTGCAGATCCAGTTGCACATAGGACATTATATATGTTACATTCCTAGAAGAACTTCATATGTTTGGCTTTTGATAAAAGTATGCAGCAGTGTATGACGTTCTTGGTTGTTAAACTTGAGTAACCCTTTCTTTTTTAAGTTCTTATTTGATCCTTAGAACGCTAAGAAAAGAGACATCTCTTATAACTAGCACCATCACTCAATGTATGAAAATCACTATATATGCACAAAGTTCATGGAAAAAGCACAAACTGTAGCGAAACATAATTTTAAATGTTCAATGACAAAACCCAGACTATATGCACAAATTAACTGCAATGTAGCCGTTAGCTTTTCTAATAATCCATTCATTTAGATTGACTGCTATCTATGCAAAACATGATTTTAAATGTTCTGCAAATTAGGTAAGTCTTTATCCTTGTTACAATGAATATTATGGTAGGTTTCCCTCAATAATATTGAACAAGATTTGTTTTTCTTATGCATCTATATATGCTTCATTGGGAACAGCCAGACATTATACACTGAACGTCTACCTATAAATTATCTCAATCACTAAATTAAAAGTTTACAAACTGATGGCTGGGCTGCATTGAACTTAGGGAGCCAGCAAATCGCCTTTTACTAGATGGGCAGATCAACCTAGACTATTTGTTGTGCTATTATTATGTAAAGTTTTTGGACCCATAGCTCTATTTTTAGCAGCTAAAATTAGAGCTATCTGATCCTAAGAGGCTCTCAGCATTAGTTTGTATAGAATGTGGGAACTATGACCTGACTAAGCATTGCTATTGCTAATATAAATTAATTGATTCATGTACATCACCATTACTGACTGAATCGAATACTAGTGTGACATAGCATATTACATTGACCCTTTTATGTACAGAGATACAATCATAAAAATTCTCTTCAATATAAATTTTGGAAAAAAAAGAGAGATTTTTCAGTGACGACTCCTTCCATCTATGCCACTAGAGGATAATGGCCCATGTAGTAGCTAGAAATTAGTTTCCTTCATACAGGCTTCGCTAAATTGTTTAAATGTTCAAACTCAAATGTTAATTAATTGACCAATAGTATATATATAAGCCTACCTTTGGGAAAATTTGGCATAAAGTTTCTCGAATACTTATAAGCCAATATGTGTAGTTTAGTGAAATGCCACTGCTAATAATGGGTTTAGTGGGCGTAACCAATATTTGCACTTTTACCTGTATGCTAGATCGATTGAGCTTGACATTTGTAGTGGCCATTTTTTATGGTCGGGTTAATGTTTTGGCAGCGTTACTCCCACCAGTAGATAAAATATCAAAGTCACAGCCATAGAAATCAACAACCACTTTCTTAGTGGGAAATACTATTGGTAGTGATATGATTTCTGCCTAATTTACTATTTCCTTGACATCGATTGGCAGTGTGGTTAGCACAATCTTTACCAAAAAGAAGTCTTGGGGTCTATTTTATGTTAATGGCCACAGTAAAAAGATAGATTCTAGTTTGGCGTTTGGGTATCATTTTGCACTGAGGTATTGTACTGGTCCCAAGTCCCAATTGCAAAACAAAGGATAGATTATTACTATCTATATGATGTTTTCCTTTCTTGTAACACCCTAAAATTTGCTTCTCTTGGAATAGAGCTAAAATGATTTAATTTTGTATTTTTATACTCATGAAAACATGGGAAAATAATAAATTTTCATTAGATTAAAATTTATCTTAAGGTAGAAACGTGTTTGTTGCATTCATGCCGGTTGCACCTTGTGTTTCTATTTGCAAAATATGTTTTTTAATACGTTTAGGAGACGAATATCTATCTCTAGGAATTTTCTAGCTTCTTTCTGGAATTTAATTCCTACCTCCTTCACCTTAATCTTTATGTTCCAAGTTCCCAACAATCTTTTCATGAGATCCAAATACTTTATTTGGATTCCTCATGTTCCATAATGTCTCTAGGAATTTTCCCTGAATTTTCGGAGGTATCGGAGTATTTTTCGTGGTTTAAATATCAATTCTAGACCTTTCTAGAATTATTTTATTCGTGAAATTAATTAATTCCGAAAATGAATAATATAACTCATTTTCCATCCAACTCTCAAAGCTCATGTGCTTTAATGTTTATTTAGGCCCATCCAATTATTTACTAATGGACTTTAATGTTTATTTAGGCCCATTAGTGTAGGTGGATGGTGCAACGTCAATTAGTACCGTATCGCTAGTTGACGTGGATGTGGGGAGTTTTTCTCCCTATATATATAACCAACCCATTGGGCAAAGCACACCAAAACTACCGTAAGGGGAGCTCCTAGTTTGAAAAATCCCTCGTGTAGTAAATTAGATTTTTCTCATTCTTCTCTCGCCGTCGCCGCCGCCGCCGCGCTGCACTGCCCAGCCCCGCCATCCTCTTCTTGGCAACAAGTAAGGCCACCTGCCATGTTCCTGCCGATCTCCAACGTGGTCGCGTCCTCTTCTTGTTTCTTTTTCTCGCAACAGAATAGATCGACTCCTACTCCTGCCCTAGATCGCAGCGTCTATCGCCGCTCGTGCCGGCTATTCTCACCTTGAGCCGTGCCGTATGCCCGCACGCATGCAACCATCCTCTGCGACTTCCAGCAAGAGATGCATGTTTGCGTACGTGCTTCGGCCTTGAGCAGCACGTCGTCTACCTGCACCTTTGGTGAGTTCTTCTATAATTATCTTTCCTCCTCCCTCTGCACTTTTTCATCATATTTAGTATCCAGACAATCAATCGTGATTTAGCCTCCTATTAAAATAACCATTCTGCATTCTTTCTTTTGGTCTCCAATACTCGATCCATATTAATTCTTTTGTCATCAGTTCCTACGTGAATCATGCATAGAGTGCACAGGTTCTTTGTTTTATATGAATCCGTATAAAACCTCATGTGCAGCTGCGTGTTATTATCTTTTCTTTTTCCTTGTATCATTGTCAACATCATGCACATATAAGCTCTGCCCCATAAATAAATTCTAAAGCTTTAATTCATCACCATTCCGTCCTTTAAGCTCTGATCGTTCAACATAGTTCTTGGGTTAGCCACGATATCTTGTCATATTTAACTTGACTCAAGTTAATGCAACTAGTTTTATAATTAAAATCAATATAGGTTTTCTACTGCATTGTTTTATATATAAATATTAATATGATTATTAATTGCTAATATAAATATGATTTTCAATTATTAATTTTCTGAGCTTAAACACGCATCATATACAGCTTGTTTAGATGTTCTCACATACTTATTTATTTTGCAAAGATTAAAGTTTAACTTGCTTAATAAATTACATGATAATATTTATAAGATAAAATATGATTAGCTTCACCTCGATTTTATGTATAAATATGATTTGTTTAAACTGAATTAATGACTCTTCCATGTTTTTATTTCAACTAAAATTAATCAAGCTTTTAGTTGTTCCTTTTTGTTTATATAATGTCAGACTCGATAGTTTTGTTCATTTTGAACCAGACTCATTTTTGGCTGTTTCTTGTGCTTTTTGTGACCGTAGCGACTAGCTCTCTTTTAGTACGTACGTTGTTTTCACTTGTATGGTGTATTGTTCTTAGTTTTCTATGTTTGCTTCTTGCATGTTTTCCTATGCGTGATGTTTGCTACGAGTAGAATGAAAGCCGTATGTGAGCACTGAAGATCAGAAGGTGATGACCAGAAACAAAGTATGAGGAAAATATGATCAAGTGTAAAAGGCAAGTATAACATGGATCTTTCTTGTTGTCCTATACACCTTTAATCATTTAATTCATACTGCATGTGTCTACCTTGACTGCCACTAAAGATTTCCTAGTACTGTGTTATCCTGTACCTTGATTCCTATGGGTTATTACATTGGGTAGTATGATGCTAGTGCCGAACTACAACCATGATCTTGTAACTTGACTAATGGTATATACAATAAACATTAAAAGATGCTGTTTAGCAACATGGAATAAGGGGGCTAGAGTATTAGGCTATTTTATAGTGCTCTAGATTCTTCTCTCTAAGGACTTATCTGTAAGTGATCATCCAGGACTTACAGTACAACTGTGAGGGCTATATGGCTCTGGCTTTAGCTCAGTATGAGGACCAATTCTAGCTTGTTAGTGGTTACCTTTATTGGCGTAAGAATGGCTTGCCAAATCGG